TAGCTAAGGAGAGATGACTGTCTCCCATATACAGTCTCCCAGATACATAACTCAACACATATTTTCACAGAACTGATTTCAGAGACTCGACTGTTTGACGCGTTCATGAATTCTGAACCAAGCTGTCATTCACAGAGCTGCCCCCTGCTCTTCACACAAGAGCAGCACAATTCCCTGGTTCCCCCACAGCCCTTCTCTCAGGGGGCAGGGCAGGAGCTGCCCTGGGCACACAGAGCTCTGCCCAACTCCACCCTCACCCCACCCCTCCCCTCAGCCCATCTAGCCCCACCTCCCAGTCACTGCAGAGCCAACGTCCAGGCTGACCCCACTGCACGGGGCCTCCTCCAGCCCAGTGCTGACCACTCCAAGAACAAAGAACCCAAACTTCCCTGATGACCCACTCCAGTGCTCAGCCACACAGCCTGGTTTATTTCCTTTTTGTCCTTTAATATTAGAGGCAATTTCCTTCACCCCTTGTGAGCAGTGCTTCTGGCACTTCCCCTGTGTGCCCAGGAGTTTGACTGGATCTTCTCTAGGGCCATCTCAGCTCACCTTTAGGACCTCTGAATCTCTGTCCTGCTTACCTTGGTGATTGTGATGAAGTCTGGTCCAAAGAAAACACTTTTAACTCCTTCAATTCTGAATAACTGTCTGTTAGGAAAACAAAACGATAATAAAGAGATGCACACGTGTTTAAGGCAAACTCCTGAAGATTAACCTGTCACAGAAAAAAAGTTTCTTCTAAAACTCCTAGACAAAAAGAAGAACTGAACCCAGAACCAAAAGGAAAACTTCAGTTATTTCACCTGCAGCTTGGTAAGAGCCAGGAGACCCTGCTGTGGAGCAGCATATGCAGTAAAACTGAACACCCCCTGCAGGACTTCCCACTTTTTCTGAGAGTTACTCTGTCTCCAGTTCTTTGGAGGCAAAATCATACACTGTACATAAAAAGCTACTTATCTGATCAGCATCAAAACCAGATGGTTCCTATTGCTTCAGGTAGGACTAGTGCAAACATAAGGAACATTCCTCAGATTAAAGCAAGTTATTTAAAGTAACCGAGCTCAGTAAAATCTGCCTGCAACTCTGTTGCCATCAAAGAGCAGGATTAGTGCTGAGCAGTCTGCACCAGCTCGCTTTGGCAGCAATCTGCAGTGGTTTTAGTCATTTCTATGGTGCATGAAAAATCTGAATACTGAGTAAAGGCTCAGGATTGATGTTAATTTGCTTGAGAAGGGCCCATCCAGCAGCCAAACCCCAGGCAGTACGTTAGGACACAACCAAAGCAACACAAGAACTTAGACAACAGGTAAGAGCATGTTTGTGACAACATTTTAAGTACAAAAAGCAGAATGAGAACTAATAGAACAATTTCAACAAATGGTTAAATAAAACCCAACACATTAATCCACAGAATAAATAATGTTACTCCTCAAAAGTAAATTTAAAAAAAAAAAAAAAAAAAGAGCAGGAAGCACCCAGAGGTAAATACAGCATAAAGTTTTATGAGTGGTTTTGTAATTAGGGGATAAAGAAATAAAAACATTTTCTCCTGAAAAACAAAAAATTCAACGACTGAAGGAACTGCACATCCTTCTGCTGCAAGGGTTCCAGTGAAAAATGACAGAAGAGATTTCACAATCCCCATTTGAAAGAACTTCCACTTGTGAAATAGTTACACATGTATTGGGCTTTTACAGCACTAAACTAAGTGGATTTTAAAGTTATTTAAACAATGAAATTATGCAATTGCATCAAACCATCCTAGAACAATTAAGTACTTACCTCACTCCATCCCCTCCAGGAAGCTTTTATTATTTCTTTGGAAAAATGAGTATTGCATTGTAAAATAAGGGAGTACTCCATTTACAAAAGCCATAATCTGGGGTTTAATGATGTACAGCAGATAATTTCTCCCCATTAACATGCACACACATCTCCCAGCTGCTTGGCCACGGCCCAGATCCCAGCACACACATCTTCTGTGATGGAAATGTCTGTTTGCAGATATGTGACAACCAAAAGCCACTTCCTGACAGGTCACTCTGCAACCTGATGCACTATTACATGATGAGATCCTAGAGCTTCAGCACCCCACTAACACATCTTGATGTCCTCAGAAACCTGTCACTTTGTATTTGTTACTTCAAGTCGCAGGGCGCCACTTGTGAAGATCCTGTTTGCTCCCAAAGAGCTCTGCAGGAGACCTCTGGAGACCTCAGAGCTGCCTGTTAAGACAACTGCACAGCTCCTGGAGAGGCTGTCACGTGGAACAGCTTCTCCTTTTGCACAGAACTCTTCCAGGGTACACAAAGATGGCTCAAACTGGGGTCTCCAGAGGTAGCCCACTGCAGCATTCAGGTGTCTCACCCTCACAGGGAAGCCCTCCCACAAAACGGGTGCTTCCAAATACTCCCAGGCCTGGGATGGTGCTCCAATCCCCTCTGTCCCCAGAGGACACGAAGGGATTACTCTCAGCTATTCTTACTCTATTATTATGCATTTAGGTATTGAAAGCTGCAGCTCAGAAGACCCATGACAGATCCAGCATAGAAAAGTGAGCCCAAAATGGCCAAAATGACTGAAACATTGCATTTTCTTGGGAAGGAAAAATCCCCTGGCTCTGAAGTTCAGCCAGACACTAACATCTGCCCAAGCAAGAGAGCTACCACATTTAATTCACAGTATTGGGGGACTATTTACTTTTTTGTGCCATCTGTTTCCCAGTTCTGGAGAGCTGCATGATTTCCAAGCAATGACTTGAACTAAGAGCATTCTGATGTGGATGATGTTGCAAAATTAGGGCCAGAGATCTCACTGACAATGCAGCAACTGCTCAAGACGAGTGATTTACAGCATCACTCACTCCAGTTGCATAAACTAGACCATGATGTGGCCACGGGGAGAACAGACACACAGAAAGGCAGCTTTTGTCACAACTATCTTCCCACCTTTGATTTTTTGCACAAGTAAAGCAGCACTGGAAACTCAAACCCAACCGAGCTGCTCAACCAAGCTGCTGCTGAGCACGAAGAGGAGCAGAAGGATCAGAAGCTGTGCTTAAGAAACCTCAGCTGTGGACCCACAGCCCACAGTGATTCCCACCCCCCCAGGTTATGAGGTGTTTAACAATACCTTGCTAAAGGTGAGCAGAACGCTGCGGCCGGTGTGGAAAACTCCATAGTCCTTGACTCCAGCACCTCCTTCCCTGGAATAAACTTTAAACTGTTTGGATTTGGTGTGTCCTGAGTTTGAATAAACATGTTTCTTACTGGAAATTAAAAAAAAAATATAAAAAATAATGTTATCAAATCTAAGTAGCTCCAACGTGATTCCTCAGCATGCCCAGGCCAGGGTGGTCACTGGGCTGCAGCCAGGACCAGCCTGCACAGCAACAGTACCTTAAAAACACAGTGCAGAGGGCTCCACGGAAGCCCCAGACTGGCACCAGGCCTGGCAAACCCTGGCACATCATCCCACAGGGAACAAGACAGTAAGTGGAACGTTGTCTCTGCTCCTGTTGCTAACTTCTGTTTACTAAAAAGCAGCTCACTGCAACAGGATGGAACTGCAGGAGGCCAGTGCCACCCTCACCTCCAACAGAGGGCCCAGAGACACAACCTCCCTTCTCTGCTGCGTTGATGGGTTTATTTTATGCCTCTCAGATACTCTTTAGTCCCTCTTCCAACATTATCTCTTCCTGTTCAGAGCCTGACCAGTTTTACTAACACCCTCTTGAAGACACACATGATTTACAGGGCTTTTAATTTCATTTTTCACCACCATAAAGAAGAAAGCCCAGCATAACAACAGCTAAAGTGAACCCTGCCTGCAATGTTTTCCAGAGAGTGAAAGGTTACTGTAAGCTATCAGTTAATCTCCATCAACTGAACTGACCAAACAATTCCAAAATCATTTATAGTTCAATGGTAAAGGTGTTTACAATTTTTTACTGAAGTTCCTTTTGCAGTGTGGGTCTTTCTTTCACTAGCAAAGTGTAAAAAACCCTGATCTTGACTAAAATTTAATACTCTACGTTTAACAGCATATTTTCTTGCAGACATGTCCACACATCATGTCTGATGTCCCAGTGAAGGTGAACATCAGTTAGGGACAGTTCCCCATCTTCTAGTTCTCTTTCTTCCTTAACTCTCCTTGCACATCAGACAGCACAGTGATATACAAACCTTTAGGAAATATAAAATGCATTTTAAAACCCAGAAATCTCCAGGAACTAATATTTATAAATAAATTATGCCTGAGAAACAAGCACACATCACTTTAAAAAACAGGCAACAGAGGCAATCAAAGCAGCAAGGAGAGCTGACAATTTTCTTTGTGTGAACTGTCACTTTGCCCCTGCTGTTAGATGACAAATGATGCTATTTATAAATCCCCAAATTGTTACTGCTTGTGTCTGTGATGGCAGAACACACACAATGGCAAAACACACACACACACACAGCATTTTCTCTTGAAGGATAAAAGACTGAGCACAGAAGTACTTTGCTGTAACCCTGACAGAGTGAGCAACCAGTCAGCTCTGTCCACGAGGATGGAACTGCTCACCTGCCAGACCCAGCCAGCCCCCAAAACCCCAGCCAGCCCCCAAAACCCCAGCTGGCCCCACGGCTGGTTCCCAAACATCCAACACAGGGGTCTGGGTGGTGTAAGTGGAGTAGCCTCCAGTGGGTGCTAACCACTGCTCAGGGCTCACCCAGCCCCTCTGACCCCTGGGACACAAGCAGCCACGCCAGCTCTCAGGAAAGCTGCCCATGGAGAAGGCCTCTGGATTCCCAAACTGCCTTGTGCAGCTGAAGGTCTGCCTTCTGCAAAGGAGGGTTTCAGTCAGGACTCAGCCTGGGGAGTTCTTTGCACAGCTGTGAGTAACCCCTCTGGAGTTCATTGCTCAGCAGGTGGTAACTGTATTTACATCAAACGTCTCTGTCATTTCTTTTGCCCCCCCTGCTGATTCTTCCACCTTGCCATCTGCTCCAGGGAAGGGGAAGGTACCAAACAGGGGCTGTCTGCAGCAGGACACTTGCAGGACCAGGTAAAACTCCAGTCTGCCTGCTGCTTAGGACTGGAACAGAAAAAATGGTGCTGGGCCAGGTAAGGCTGGGCTGCTGTGAAGTGAAACTCCAGCCTGAGCAGACTCATTTAAATAAGGTTCCCATTGGTGACTCACTCCACACAACAGCACCTGCAGAGTTTTGCCTTAGGCTCTTTCTGACAGTGTTGGACAGCAGCTGCTGCATCCCTCAGGCAGGTGGCAAAGCACCACGTTCTTCTGCAGTGCAAGTTTCACAGATTTCTTCACCCCCTTCTCAACATTGCAGCCTTCCAAAAAAACAGTATGTGTAACAAACTCAGTTTTAACCATTACTTCTCTGGGGTAATACCAGTTTGCAGATAGTATTAATGGAGAATGCCATTAATGCACCAAACACGGATGCACCTTCAAGAGGGAAAAATTATTAAAAAGACAGAATTAGAGCTCTAAGAATGGAAGGCTTGGCTTTCATCCCTGCTAGGTTCTGTCTGTGTGGCCAGTAATTTTATCTGGCAGAGCTCAGCAGCTGAAGCAGAACAGAAGGCAACAGAAAGTCATAAGGGACAAATTTACACTAAGACAGAAATTAAGTGCAGCAAAGCCCAAATAACATTTTGCACTAAGAGTCTGTGGTAAGTCTTGGTGGCTGAATCATCTAGAAAGAACATGGATAACCAAGCACACAGTGAGCCATCCACATCTCCAAAGCTCCAAATGCACTAGCACTTCACTAAAAAACACCTAGGAAATGTTACCACACTCACGTTTCAGGAAGAACAGGAGGCTTTTGTTATTACCACAAGACAAAGACTCACAATGCACTCATCCATTAATCTTTAACTAGCATTTACCTGTATGACGCCATACTGCAGGTGGAAGAAATGGTTTCTTCTGCACCAGCTGGTGGAAAGTCTGTTGAGTTGTCCATTTATGACCTTTCAAGATCGTACGACAGAATCTAGAGAAGAATAATTTTACTAACAACTCCCAAATTGCAAGTTTGAGCTGCCCCACAGAGAGCACATCATGTACTTCTAGAAACCCCACCACTCAGCAGGACACTCACCTGCCTCCAGCCCCTCAGGTCATGCAGCAGGCTCACAGGCCAGCTCACAAAGAAACCTTTATTTTTTCCCCTTTTCAGTGCTCCCTCTCATTCCATAACAAAATAGCCATAGCTCTCCAGTTTTAGCCACCTAAAAATTAGACTAGACTCCTTTACAGTCACTGAAGACAGGCTAATCACCTTACTCACCTAGAGCAGAGGAGAATAAATCACCCTGAAGGAGCCTTTGGACAGTCCCAAGCACCTGGAACAAAATCACCCTGAAGGAGCCTTTTGTCTTCCTTTGGACAGTCCCAAGCACCTGGAACTCTAGCTTGGACTAAATACCCAATGTTCAGAAGATTACAGGCAGCTGGGATGAATCCAACCCCAAGCTCCTGAGGCTAAATCAAAGCCAGAACTTACTCCCCTACTCTGTGGTTTAGCTGATCAAAGGTAAGGCTCTCCCAGGTGACTCTCAGAAGGTACAAGAGAGGCTAAGAAGGTAACAGTTACTCTCACACAAATTATTCTCATAAGAAAACAATACCAGGACAACATTTGGATAAAAGATAAAAACTGTAAAAAAAATCTGTCTACTACACATACCAAGCCATACCTCACCCCTGCCCATCTATGTGTCTTTCTTCCCTTTGGGAAATAGAGATATTTAGTATATTCCCATGCAAGTACCATTCTAGAATTAAAGCAGACCAGTTAAAAAGAGGCCCTGCTCCACACTGGCCACACAACTTGCATCAGCAGTTAAAATAGGTTTGGTGTTTCCTCCTCAGATGAAGTTAAAAGAGAGGAGAAAAGAAAAAATCACTAACAGAAAAAGGAACAGAAAGAATAAGAGGCCCAGCTTTCAAAAGTGAAAACTGCACATCTGATTTCTGTGCCACACATTACACAGCGCCCAGCTATCCCAAACTGACCCAGGAAACAGAACCAAACCCTGCCTCACAGAGAAGTATTGCACAGAAAGGATGAAGTACTGCGTGGTCTCAGGGGAAGGCAGGAAAACCAAACCCCTGACACCGGCAGGGGCTGCCCCTGCGCCGAGCCTGATCCTCTCAGGGGGTCTCCCCCTGACGACAAGCACCACACCTGGGCCCAGATTCCCCACACGGGAGCAGGAGGGAAGTTCTGTCTCACGGACTGAACCTCCCCGCTGTGAGCCAGTGAAACGTGAAGACAGAAGAGGCCTAAATAGCATTGCTTGCTTACTTTTGTGGCCTTGGCAGCAGGTACAGAGACCACAACGGGATGTGTGAGGAAAGTCCCCCAAGCGAAGAGCTCTTTTGTACTGGGAAGTAACTGGACTGTTTTACAGTTCCATGCCCCAGGGCGGGTGTGCTTATCACCCACACGCTCCTCACGACTGCCCCTTATTGCACAGTCTTTGGCAACTACGGAGAGGAACTTCCCCGTACTTCTCGGTCTCAAGCATACGGGGGAGGAGGGAGAATTAATTGCCCCTCGCTGCAGGATCCTGAGCACACGGGTGGGAGGAGGGGAGGGCAGGAATCGCCCCTCGCTGCCCGGCCCCGAGCACTGCGGGGAGAGGTTTCCGCGCACCCCTCGCTCCGCTGCGCGCAGGGTGAGCGGCCCTCAGGGCCAGGCCCTCAGCA